GATCCATGTACACTGGAGAAGAATGTGAACTGTGCTTTTGTTGGCTGCAATGCTCTGTATATGTCTATGAGGTTGAGTTGGTTGATTGTGTTGGTGAGTTCTTCTGTATCTTTATTGAGTTTTTTTCTAATTAATCTGTCCCTCCTTGAAAGTGGTGTGTTAAAGTCTCCTTACTACTATTGATGAGTTGTCTGTTGTCCCTTTCAATTCAATTAATATTTGCTTCACATATTTTGGAGTACTTTCATTGAGTGCATACATACTTATTATTGTAATGTCTTCTTTGTCAATTGACCCTTTCAGCATCATATAGTATCCTTCTTTGTCTCTTATGTTGTTTTTCATCTTAAAGTCTATTTTATCAAAAATTAATATTTCCACTCCTGCTCTTTTTTGGTTACCACTGGCTTGGTATATTTTTTCCACCGCTTAACTCTTAGTTTGCTTTTATCTTTGTGTCTAAGGTGAGTCTCTTGTGGTCAGCATATCTCTGGGTCTTCTTTTCTCATCCAGTCTGCTACACAATCTTGATTGGTGCAGTTAGGCCATACACATTGAGTGCAATTAGTAATAGGTATGCATTCATTGCTATCATTCTACTGTATTTTTTTGTCATGTTGTTGGAGTTTCCTTGGTCCATATACTTTTCTGTGCTGAGTTCATCTTGTTGTCAAGTGTTTCCTCTCTTTTCTTCTTTATTGTTGGTTTTGTGCTTACTAAACCCACGTTTTCCTTCCTTCTGGGTTTGCTTAGGGGGACTGTTATTTCCTCTGTGGTTACCTTTGAGTGAATTCTTGTCTATATTTTTGGAACAGTCTGTTCTATGAGGACATTGTCCTGTGTTCCTCTCCATTTGGAAGTGTTGTACCTTTTATTCCCTCTATTAGGTTAGTTGCTATTGTTGTGTACAGATTGAGTCCCTTGTTTTCAGTATACAATGTTTTATGGCCTTATTTGGAGTGTCTATTTCTGATTTGGTTTTAGTGTTGATATCATGTGTTCTGACTTTGTTGTTATCTGTTATGGGTTCTCAACTGGAAGGACTTCCATAAGCATTTCTTGTAGGGTTGATCTGGTTTTCACAAAATCTCTTTAATTTCTTTTGTCTGAGAATGTCTTGATTTCACCCTCATATTTGATGGACAATTTGGCCGGATATAGGATTCTTGGAAGGAAGATGGGGCAATCTACTTCCATAGTGATACTGCCTCGGAAACCCAAGGAGGGGTCACTATGAGTCGGTCCAACTTGACGGCACATAACAACAACAACATAGGATTCTTGGTTGGAAGTTCTCTTCTTTCAGTGTTTTATATATGCTGTCCCATTGCCTTCTTGCCTACATGGTTTCTGCTGAGTAATCAGAGCTCAGCCTAACTGTTTGCTTGTTATAAGTAATGTGTCTTTTGTCCCAGGCAGTTCGCAAGATTCTTTGTCTTTGGTTTTGGAGAGCTTATGATATGCCTCAGTGTTTTTCTCTTGGGATCTATCCCAAGAGATAGTATGGGGTTCTTTGTGCTTCTTGGACAAATATCTTTTCTTCCTTCATGATATGGGGAATTTTTCTGTTAGTAAGTCTTCCACAATTTTCTTGGAGTTTTTTTTTCTTTCTTTCTTTTTTCCTCTTCTTCTGGTATTCCAATGAAGTGTATGTTGTTTCTCTTCATGTAGTCCCATATAACTCTGAGGTTCTCTTCATTTCTCTTAAATCTTTGTTCTGATATTTCTTCATACAGGCTGGTGT